TCAGAAAGAGATTAACGATTTGGGGATGACATTTCCCAAAAGTATTTGGTGAAGAGTTTCAGCCCTATCTGGTGTGGGGATGAGATTACACCAGAGTGCAGACAGAGGGTATTAATGGAAAGTGCCAGTGAGCTGGCAAAGCGGTTATCAGCTCTTTCAGAATGGCTCTGCACTAAGGGCAGAGCCTCTGCATACAGCAGGCACGCTTCTGAAAGCAGCCAAGTTCCGTAAGTTGGCCTCTAAGTGAACAAAAAGCCCAAGTAAACATCACACGGCAAAGTATGTTCATTGTCACTACTTCTGACGAGCAGAGATTTCGGTGGTGCAGGAGTTCTGAGCAGTTGTAACAACTCCCAAGGAAAACGAGAAACTGAACTCCAAGACGTTTTCCCCAGACTCCAGGCAGGGATCACAGCATTTCACAGCATGGTGGAAGTAGTACAACAAAACCAGGCAGTCTTTCCAGCCAGGTGAGCCATTTTGCCCTAGCAGAAGCCTTCCACTCGTGATGTGCACACGTCGATCAGCTGAATCGTGTTGTACAGAGACCCGGCACACGCGTGTGCCTCACCCACAGCACACACACTGCTCAGGGCAGCCTGGACTGGACTCACAGCACTCCCATCATGTGGTGGGGAAGCGCTGCTGGCCCCTGGGAAAGAGCAAGAGCAGGCTGCTACCATGGGATTTATTAAATCAGACTACAGGCTGCTCCTCGAGCCAGGGAAAAAGCTTGCTGCCAGTGAGCTGCCGGCGAGAGAATTGCTCTAGGGCTGTACGATGATGGCGAGCTGCACGTTAGACTCTGCTCTATGGCAGGGATCACTCTTACCGGCTAACTGCCAACTTCTCAAGTGCTTACCAGCCTCCAAACTCAAAAGGCACTAACGGCAATTTATGTAAGCTGTTCCCCTAGCAGACATAGGAGACACTAGAACCGGGCAGATCATCCCCTTCACTGTGCTCACAGACAGTCCCCAACCACAAGAAGTAACAAGTAATTCACATCCCAAAGCCTTTGACAGCTATCAGTCATGGCTTGACGGGTCTATTCCTCTCTGAAAACACAATGTCATCTCTCTTGCATTTGAGGCTCATTAAATGCTGCCCACCCATCACCTCTCAACACTCACAGATTGCTTGTTGGTCACCATACCCTTACAGGCTCCAGGTCAGAAGGGCTCTTCACAGATTTCAACAGGAATTAAAATTTGATTGTCCCGGCCTGCTCACTCATCCACCTTGGAGTACAGACAAGAAGGCGCATACAGGATCCGTGACTTTCCTGTCGCACTGTCCCAGCAAGCTCCTCTTGCCTGCTGGAGGCACAGATGTCAGCGTCAGAGGAGAAACTCCTCTAATATACACCGGGTCTTTGAGCTTTTATTCAAGTATGCAGTTTTCTAAGCCAGTACTTGTTACGAGGTGCTACAGCATCTGTGAACTATGGCTAAACGCACTTCCATATGTTTGTTTCTGGGCATGAATACTTTGCTAGCTCTTAAGCTAAAACATCTGAAACCTGCACTCAAAATTTTGGCCCACATAAGCCCTAGCAAGCTCACTGTTACTGGGCGTGCACGCAGTGGCCCCTCAAAGCCAAGCTATGGCCTTTCCCAAATGTTTTAAAGCAGTGGTTTTCAATCTCTGAAACAACCATTTGAGAGTTTTTGGTCAAAGAGCCATTTTATATATTTTAGCAGCTGGGAGTAAAGCAGTAAGACTCAGACAGCACTAACCACCGAGGTAATGCTCTTTTACAAATTGCTTTGCTAAAAACATGGTTTAGTTTAAAACTGTAGTCTAAAGCCTTCTCCTGACGAGGGCTGTCAAGTCAATGAGAGTCAGCTGTAAATTAAACAATCATTAAAACTGATTATCAATTTTTCAAACTGAAGCTTGAATGCTTCCCAGCTGGGGGCGGGGGAGGCAGGGCTCTTTTCCCCTCCAAGGCTCGCTGGGCACCCAGAGGAGACAGGAGTGTGGGAACGAGAGCTGGGGACTGCAGGAAGGCGGAGCGGGCATGTATCGTTACCAGAGGGAGGCAGAAAAGGAAAGGAAAGGAAATCACCTCTAGAATTGATGGGAATGGAAACAGAGATGGGGAAAGCAACTCGGAATTCCAGTCATGACTCGGTTTTAATCTAACTGATGGAGCAAGGGGAAAGGAGAGAGCAGATGAGCTCTTACACTTACAGACCAGAATTAACCCCCACCTCGCCACACATACACTTCTGGTGGCAGGCACTGACAAAACCTCTGACAGCTGGCCGGTAACAGGACTCTCTTCTTAAAGATCAGCTCACAGACTTCCTTCTGCAGTCCCACTGACAACAGTGCTGCAGCAGCAGCAGCACTGCTTTGTATTGGTTTGAAACACAAAAGTTACAGGAAAAGTAACTTTTGAAACAAAACCCAGAGCTCTGTGCCATAGTTCACACGCAGCCAGGGAGGCAGGTGATGAAATACCCTGCAGGGACAGGGTGCGTGCAAAGAAGTGGAGTATTTGCAGTGGCAGCTCCAGTTGATGTGTTCCCACTTTTCTCTTTGCTGATGGCTGCAGGACTGGGGGGCTCCCAAAACTGTTAACTGTAAATCCCCACCTGCAGACTGATGCTGCTCTGCAGTTATACTGTGTGTTGAATGAACACTCGAGCCCAGTCTAGGAGCAAGGTGACACAGGGATGAGCCTGCCTGCAGTTTCATACACAGTGAATGGGATCTGAATGGGGTGCGGGCAGTGGGGGCTGCAGGACCTTGCTTTGACCTTCCACACCTCAGGTGTGCCAGCAACACCCTCCTACATGGTCCTGCAGCACCGTCAGAAACAGTAGCCATATCAACATCGCCTGCTCACCTGCCAACACAACTCACACATATTTAGACAGATGAAACTCTCTTCTAAAACAAACCATTACAGCCTTTTGTACTGTAACTCACTGATTTACTTATTTCTCCTTGGGGATGTACACTTGAATTCTGAGGTCAGAAGATGGCCTGGTCCAAGCTGCCCTTGCTCCCCACATATAAAGGGCTTCATTACAGGCAGCTGCTATAAACTTCAGGGGCCAAAGGAAGTCACAGGGGAACGAATTGATCCTTGCGATAAAAAAAACAAAAACAAAACCAAAGCAAACCAACCCACTAACCAGAGCCTGGATTGTACCTTCCAACTCCAGGAGGCTGATGGACCCATCAGGAACTCGGTCCCTCTACGGTCAATGCGAAGAGGAACATAAGGACTGGCTAAACCATGTCTTGCTTTCTCCTTCGACTGGGGGCAACACAGGGCAGCGACAGGGCACTGCAGCTCAGCAGAAAAGAACAAGGCCCAACGGCTTTGAAGCACACGTCAATATTAGTCAAGGAAGGATGGGTCTTTTACGCACAGTATCAGCAATCACCAAATCTCACTTTTCAGAGCAGAACATGACAAGGAAGTCACATGCAAGAGAGCTGCGCTAATGCAACACTGTGACATAAGATTAAAACAGGAAAAAAGAATATTTCCGAGAGCTTCATATTTCAGTCAGTCAAGTGGTGACCTCTGCATTTCGACGCTCAGGCATTAAGGTAATTCTACAAGTGCAACGTTTTTCATGGTCCTACAGCCTGTCACTGGTAGGCAGCACGTCGGGGGTTCACAGGCAAGAGTTGCCCCAAACATCACTACTGCATTTTTGCAACTACATCACGTGGTCTGATAAGAGACTTGATCTCTCCAAACAAATTGTTCTTTGTGAGTGCTAAGGTACTGCGAGGAGGAGGAGACAGCAAGAACCACAAGGACAGCAGGGCAAATCAGTCATTTTCTCTGAAATGGTATGGAAATAAAAGCGAAGCAGGAAGAAAGCGGTACCTCTGTCAAAGGTCTCGGTCTTCTCTCTACAACAAATTCTGTGTGGCAGAGCTCACAGTAACTTGTGTTGGAGGAGGACAACCATTTTTCCAGGCAGCTCTTGTGCACGGTGCCCAGTGTTCCTGTGCAGTCACACGGGGAAAGCAGTCCCTCCCCATTTCCACCTTCATGACAGATTCGACAGATGGGACCATCACTAAAGAGGCAGACAAACAGAATGAAATCACGGTCAGAGCAGGCAGAACGATGCAGCCACATTGGAGACCGGGGTCCAATCCCACCAAGCCCCAGAAGGGCACACGCACAGCAGGCAGCACAGGGCAGAGCGTGCCAGGCACGCTGCAACTCTCCAAAGCAGCCTGCTGCAGCAAGAAGCCAGTCTCAGGGGAGCGTAGAGATGCCCGGGACATCTTAGGTCAGTAAAACCTGGATAGCTGTGTTGATAAGCACCATAACACCCAAGAGAAGCTGGCACGTCAGCCTGGCCAGCTTAGCTGGCCACAGAAGGGACCGCAGCGCATGTGTCCCACAGTCTCCAGCTCCGCTCACAGCGGGCAGATAGGTTGACACCAGACCTGAAACCAACCCTGAAGCACTGATGCAAATCCAGAAGCCCAAAGCAAAGCTGGATGATCCACACTAGTCACAGCATGCCCCCAAGCCACCTGGAGCCACTCAAGAGGTTTGCCATCACGGTTACATTTATCAGGTCACCTACCCACTCTCAGCCCATCTCTGCTCTGCATCCTGGGTTTAGCAGTAACTTCATAAGGAACATCGATATCTAAAGACATATCTACATTGACTCTGGAAGCTCAGCTCTCCAAGGACACAACGTATTTCATGGCAAGCAGCCACCTAGACTAAGTTCTCGGCACACAGACCCTCTGCCCATCACAGCGCAGTAACTCACTCCGCATCCTGTCTGCACACCACCACGCAGGGAAGTGTTCTGCAGCATTTGGGCTTTTAACTGGCTGCAGAAATGCCTTGGTGCTTCAACAACCACCACTTCTGACCACCTCCTTGGCTAGAAGTTTCAACTACAGAATCAACTCTCTTTGATCACGCTCAGGATCTGCTCTTTCAGAACCTCCTAGAACCAGAGATGCTTATCAAAGGAAGTATCAAACGCTTTCAGAGACACTTGCAACCTTCCCCACAGGAGGCCTACACTGCTGATTGCACTCAAACCACCCATTTGTTCCCAAGATGTTCCCTCATGTCTCTAACTAGTGCTGCTGGCTGTGGACTGTTAGTGCTACTGCTCCAGCATCCAGCAACCATTAGCTCAGGTGTATCAGATGGTATTCATGTGACTAATTTCCATTACAGACTAATGTAGTTTTTTTTTTGCACCTACATAAACTTAGAGCATCCAGTGTCTTCCTGTAGCAAGGACTTTCTCTAGCTGCACTAAGGACCAAGTTCTTTTCAACTGAAACCTCTCCTTTGCTTGTTTTGTGTACTATTCCCCAATTCTTTTCCTGTAAAAGACAAGGTTTTCCACACACCCCAGATTTACAGACTTCCATCATAGCCTGCTCAGTCACTTCTTTCACGAGCAGAAGAGTCCTAGCCTACCCAGTCACACCTTAGACAGAAACACATCCAGCTTTCTGATCACCTTCACTACCCTTCCCTCTACCTCTTGCACTTCTAAAACATGCTTTTAGAGCCACAGGGACCAAAGCTATAGTTTTCAAGATGCAGGCGCACCAGGGATTTTTGAAGTGACTATGTTCTGTTCTTCATTGCTTTCCTAAATCTTAGCATCTTATTTGCCTTTTGGTCACTGCTGCACTTAACTGCCACATGCCCAATATCTTCCTCCAAACCTGTGAACACATATGTAAATCCTGGACGACTGTTCTTCATCTGCATCACTGCACACTGAACTGCAACCATTACTTTAGCCTGCAGTCATTTTCAATAATGTTCAGTCCCCTAAACTCAGGCGTCTAGTCCCATTTTAGGTCCAAGGCCATCCCAGCTTGCATCTGAAGGCACAGGTTTCCTAGAAGCCCTGTGTCACATCCACCAGCCCTATCATAAGGACGTCTTGGGCTCCCTGGGAAACCTCAAAGAGCTCTAGACACCAAAGTTTGCTATTCTCAGAAATACAGAACATCTCTTCAGTGTTCACCATTCATCGAGACCATTTAGAAATAAAATGCTGGACAGCAGAGGCCCAGTGCAGGGTTGCCCTCCTTGGACCATGAAAATGAGCCATTCACTAGTATCTTACTTCTTTCCCACCTTCCAATCAGCCATTTCTTTCACATCCATAGTTGCACAGATTTGGGGGTGGGAGGGAGGGTGAGAAAGGAACATCTTTATTTCAAAGACCCTACTGCATGCCCTCTTGAAATCCAGGTGAGCTCTATCAGCTATCACCTTTTTTCCACATATTGCTGACAGTACAAAAGCCACACTGATCCCATCTCACAGTTCACGCTCCACTGATATTGTGACTTTAAAAAAACATACCTGACTGCAAAAGAAGTTTGTGGGATTGCAACGCAACAGTCAGAACAAGCAACCTGCAGTCCTCAAAATCAGTAGCGCTACTTCCATCAGTTTGCACAACCAGATAAAACAGAAAACAAGAGCAAGACACGGAAACACAGTGCAAGGAAAAGGAGCATACTGGGGAAGAACGTTGGTGGGACATGAAGGGAAGAGAAGAGCCAACAAGAAGGTACACATCAGATCACTGAAGGAGAAGCACGACTCCTCTCTTGGTGCACCACAGGAGATCTGTACCACTTTCAGCTCAATGTTTAGCAGGTTTCATCCCAATTGGACTTTTAAAATCATATTTAGGGCTGTGAAGCAACGTACACCCACTGCACCATCGCCTTCTCTCTGCCAAACATCACTGGTGAACCACTGACCCTTGTTCTCTCCTCATTTTCATGCGCCTTTTATTTAGGGGACTTCTTCAGCTGGGACAATCCCTGCAACAGGAGTCTGGAGAGGTGGTAGAAATCTCATTCTCCGAGATACTGAAAACTGCACCGAACAAGGCTCTGATCCACCTTTGAAGTTGGCCTTGCTCTGAAAGGAGGCTGGACCAGATGTCCTCCAGAATTCCCTTCCAGTCTGAATTATTTGATGATTCTGTAACCTTTATTACCATAAAGCTCAGTGCTGCATCAGAACGACAAAATTACAGTCTGCTTACACAGCCTTAGTGACAGGGACAGACCAAAACAACCCCAAGCCGCCAGTGCTCTCATGCATCTGCTATTTCCTAAGAAAAGAATCTGAAAGATATTTCATCCGTTCTCTTCCTGTTTGAGAAGTTTCATATTTCCAGTGCACTAATATAGCCTTGGCTACCAATAAACAATCCAGAAGGAAAAAATTTGCTGACAGTGCAAGAAAAAAAAAATTCTTATCGGACGCCGTTTTCCTTCCTTCCCATCCGGAGGGGGAGGGGGCTCGGTCACACTCCCACATGATACACCCTCAGATGCAGTTTTCCAGCAGGCTGCAGAGACTACATCATTAATTCAATCTTCCAGTACAGTCACACTGCTCCTGGCTTCACTTTGCTAAGTGCTGGTGACAAGGAAGAGACTGAAACCCACGACCATCATAATGAACAAACTGGTGTCCCATGAAGACACATGAGCAATCCTGTTGGTTTCTTTTTAACCTGTAATCCCAGGCAGTTTCCCCACATGATTATTACACCTCCGCAAGTTTTAAGGGGTTGCACAACTTCTAGCCCTGCCTATCTGTTGTCAGAGAGCAAGCTCAGTTCCCCTTGCATTTTTATTGACCTGCTCCAGGTTTGCTAGATACAGCAATTACATTTGCCTTAGCTCTCATCTAGCTTTCCTGCTTTCCTCCCCCATGTTTGCAGTCATTGCTTTCACACCTCATCAACGTTTGGCCAAATTCACAAAAAAAATAACAGCTGTTCAGATAGGATTTGAACAAAAAAAAACGTGACCAGTCTCACTAGCTGGACTGAACAATGCCGCCAAGTGTCCTCTACTCTGGAAGCTGCTCGATGAGAAGTCACATCAGGAAGACTCTGAGCAAATGAAGCTGCCACATATCCCCTCTAGCAACAGCTGGACACTGCAGTTCCTGCAACACAAACACTCTTGTCTCCTTGGGGCTGCAAATGAACACCACGTTTTTACTTCATGACTATCTGGGAACAGGGGCTGTGCTCCATTTTCAGCCCTTAAACCATCTCCATGAACAGAATCACAGAATCAATTTGGTTGG